ACCACAGCTATTCCCAAAGTTTGCTTTACTGCCACCTCCCAATCAATGCGCAGATCACACAGGGCCCCTAAAATCACATTTTACACTATTTTTAAAAGAATATGTACTGTTTTCTCTTCAGATAATATGTTAAAACAATCCATTCCTCTGGGCTTAATATAAAGAAATAGTTAAAGAAATACAAAACAACATTTTCTTTCTTGCTTATTGTATGGACAACCTTTGGAATGTTTTTTATTCTTAATTCAAGCAATACATGGTTTTGTTTCTTAGTTTACGTGCAAAGAGTGGTTCTTATTCATATTTAAAAGAATTGCCGTCATCATAAAAGGTGCTACAATCACTGCTGAACCTGAACAAGGGCCTAAACCTGCAGGTAGAGGACACATACAGTACAACACAAACATTCTCATATGTTATTAGGTACTTTTTTCAGACCAAGAGTTTGTTTTCATACCTGACAGTTTCGACTGATCACAAGCGGTCTTCCTCAGAGTGGTCACGTGATGTTGCTGTGACGCTTCTGATCAGCTGATTTATGCAGGTTTTGGTGCTGTCTTCCCATCAGTGGAGGCAGGACAATAGCGCCCTCTGCTGTCCGACTTCCTCAGGACAGTATCCCAGGTGTGTGAGAGTGAAAAAGCCCCCTCGTCCCGGTTTACAGTCCTGTCGGTTCATTTCTGTATTTCGATGGCCTCTTTCCAACGATGTTTGTTTTCCTCTGTCCCAATGATGTTTGCTCTGTCCCAGTCCATAACGTGGTTCTCTTTTTACAGTGGTCAGAGATGGCCGGTTTGACTTGTTCCTGTTCTGCTTTGTGTTTTGTTGCTCATGTGCACGCCTTGGCTGTTTCCTTCTCACATTCTGTTCTACGTTTCTTTTTTCGTGAACTGAACGCCCTCCCTGTTTCCCCGATGTATGGTTTATTGCACGACATGGAGGGTATTTCGTATATGATAATATTTTTTTCACACACGGGATACTGTCCTAAGGAAATCAGACTGCAGATGGCGCTGTCGTCCTCCACCGATAGGAAGACAGCGCCAAAACCTGTATAAATCAGCTGATCAGAAACGTCACAGCAACATCACTTGACCACTCTGAGGTAGAACTGTCAGGTATGAAAACAAACTCTCGGTCTGAAAAAGAAAACCTAATAACATCATAACTTATCAGAAGACCAAATGAACCTCATTGGACTACATACATTCTCAGTACATGGACAGGCTGATGTGAAAGCTCCTGAATTCCATCACTGAGCTGCAGAGGCTGCACTAGCACTGCTTCATCACTGGCTGTGGGTGCTGTGGTTTAGGTAGTGACTATTCAGATCAGGCAGAGGCATTTTAAGTTTAAACCAACTGGATTTCAGCATTGATTATAGTCTTGAGAACCAATTATAACAAAAACAACCTGGCCATCATGTGCAGTGTTTTTGTAATTGAGAATAAATCAGCATTAGAATTGGTGTCAGTAAAAGGTACATTTGATTTGAACATGTTTACCTCGTATCTGGGGACACATGCGTCATGCATATGGAAATTTAAATCTAAATCCTATACACGGCTCCTGTAAAGGGGGACTACACCTTAATTCCACCCCCAACAACATTTCAAATAGAGCTGCTAAACCAAGCAGTGCCTGGAGGACTCTAGCGGAGAGAGAGAGGAGGAGGGGAGGAGTCTGAACAGATAAAGGTGCACTATGTTACTTTTTTGTTGGGGGGGTTCATCACTTTGTTTCTATAGATATGTCACTGCTCTGCTTGGAATGTTCCACAATATGACAGCTCACGTACTACCCTATTTATTCAAATACAGGCTTTTTTTTTTCTTCAAAAATACATAGAAAAAACAGGTATTGTCACTGTGAGAGAGGCCACCTCTCCACAGATCTGACCTGTAACTTGCTCTCTACAAAGATAGAAAGGTTTAACATCCATGACAAAGCAAAAACATTTCCATGTGTAAAAACAGGTGGCGGACTCTCCACCAGAAAAGTTACACAGTGTACCTTTAAGTGTAACAAAAAGTCATGACTCATTGGTAGATAATTTGAGAAGTCAAATTTACTCATATCAAGAAAAAAATACAGCAGTTTCAACTAGGGCTGAATGATTCTAAGAAAAAATTTAATTGCGATTTTTCTGGCAGGTATTGTGATTTCGATTTCATCCACAATTTTGTTCAAATCAAGTTGTAGTGCACATGAACATTTGCAAACATCACAGAAACTTGCATCATACCAGAGTTCTGCACCCACTCCCAATTTACGCAGACAATAAGAGCTGTGATTGGTCATCTCTACCACTGCTCTATTTACATTTCCTGTACTCCACTTTCCTTTCTTTCAATATACGGAGAGTAATAATGTGCTTAATGCAGCTTTGTGCACATTCGTTTATGTTTTACAGAAACTAAATTCAAAACCAATATGCATAAACTATAAAGGCTTAAAAACAGCTCGCTCCTTGTGTGCTGATGTAGTCAGCTTCTGTCGGAATAAAGGACAGGACTCAGTGGAATATGTGTGTTCTTCCTGTGACAGAGGGATGTGCTGCTGATGAGTCTGTTCTGTGCTTCTATCGCGTTGGAGATGGTTCATGTTCAACTTCAAACTTTACACAAATGGCAGGTTTAAATCCTCGCCCCCTAGTGTTGTGGTGGTGAATTACTTTGTGGCGCATAGACCTCAAAAACGGCAGCAACAAGGCAGGGCGGCAGTGTGCGTTGAGTCGACACAGAACTAAACTTCGCCCTTAAACTTTGACGTTCCCAAAATCACGTTGTTTGAGATTGTGATTTTCGGTCCAAAACGATAGATCGCTCAGCCCTAGTTTCAACTACGCTAGATTTTACTTGTTCCTGTCAACCCACTCTGGAGCTGCCCCCTTTCTCTTGGCACTATATTTGCCTAGCTTAACAATGCTATTACCCTTTCCAAATGGTACAGAAACAGCATATAGTCCTAAGGGGATTCGTGCAACGCTACAAAAATGATTGTTTTGTTAAAGGTGGCACATGCACGGCGTTCCTGAGTGACTTTTCTTTCTCCCTGGAGTCCTCTTTGTTTAGGCACTCAGGTAGACATGATGTGTATTTGAATTTATAGCTCCAATGTGTCAGAGGAACAGTTAAAGACCCGAAGGCAATTACTCTAGTAGGTAAAGCAATTCTGTCTGTCACCATTTGATAGGTTGTGTTCACAAGACATCACAACACACTAGAATCCCTGTAGTTTCGGTATTTCTTTTAAAAACTGTACAATTCCCTAGAGTTATATACATAGATATTCATGCAGCATTCTCAATTTCTGTCCATTGTTCAAACTTGAGCACTTGGCCACCCGATGGTACCCACACAAATCAAACACTCCATCATTATCTGGCCTCTTCAGCAGTAATATGTTATAAACGGTGTTTAGTAGTCACAAGATGTTTACCAGAACCACACAAGTTCAGAAAGCTTTACTGAAGTTTGGTTAGACATTAATCCAGATGCACAAGAATTATGATCAAAAATGAAACATCAAAAGGTTTACACATTCAGTGATGACTTTTAACAAGGCTTTGTCCTCACCTGTTTTTTCTTTATGTTGACGACTTTCTACATTTTATATACATACAGAAGTCATGAAATATATGATACAAGATGGATATGGATTTATGTTGCAAAAAAAAAGTTAAATAACTCACCTAAATATTTTTTTCTTTTTCGACATTGCTGCACACGCTTAGCCTTCTCTCAATGAGCTTCCAGCCTGAAGTGATCCAAATCAGATTTTTTTGCCCCTATGTGACCTGTATTTGATCTTTTAATGACAGGTCCGATTTTTTTCATATGTGACCAAGGCAATTTGGATATGTGGTCCTAAAACTGATACATATCCGATCTTTTGAAAAGCAACTTCAGTCTGAACAGCCAAGTCACATTCATCCCACCTACACGTCACAAATGTACAACAAACGTTTTTCTCGTCACACGAAAATTGTGTATGAACTCTGCGTCACTGAAGAAGTGAAGCTCACTGCAATCTCACCACTCTTGGCTGTGACTCCGCACCCACGTGTTCCTTTGTATGGACATTGCTGCCACTGCCCCACAAAACTCCATGGGCAAAAACCTCGTCCTTCTCAATCTCTTCCTTAAAACAAATAAGCTGTACATGTTCTGGCTCCGGTACGACAGCAACTTTAAAATGGCCAGGTGCTCATATGCTCGCATCCATTTGTGATGTCGTAGTGTCCTCCAAAGCGCATGTGGGACAGTTTTGGGGTGTTTAAAGTTCACACTGGAGATCACATACACGTTGCATTTAATTGGAAATGTGAAAAACCTCACAAAAAAATGTGATTTCACAAAAAAAAATCCAAATTGAGCATTAAGCCCTGCAGTCTAAACGTAGTCGTAGTTACCTGAAATGGTTTTCAGTTCACTGGAATGGTAATGTTGCACTTCTCAGAGTCAAGGGATGCAAAAGTGCAAAGCAGGATGGCTATTTTAATGTATTTTTATTTAATTTTTTTAACCTGTGACAAGTTTTGAGTTATTTTACGTGGTCATTCATAATTTAGACGCTTTCACTGAGAATCCACAATGTAAATAATCATGGAAATCAAGGAGAAACATAAAAGTGTGACCAAACTTTTGACTGGTGTACAGTAGAAGGGTTGATACCAGCTGGCACCCTCTTGATTATTGATAATTTGAGATTTTTGAAGGCTATCAAACACCACATCTACAAATTATATGTCTGTGGTTATATAGTATAATTCCAAAACTTGAGTGATTTAAAATTCTACTCCAAAAAGGTAAGGAAAAAAACTACATCAAAAACCCAGGCTTGTTAGCAGCAGATGTCAGGCAATCCAAAGTCCTCTTAAGGTGTTATGTCTAGACATCAAAGTGGAGGGTTTCAAAGGAGACGTGCAGATGGTAGATGGAGGATTCTGTGGACGCTTCTAAAAGGTGATTTGGTTTTCTGTGTTTTCTGTTCCGCAGACTGTCAGCACGGATCCCTACCCTGTCAAACTTCACTACGACAAGTCTCATGACCAAGTGTGGGTGCTGAGCTGGGGAGATATGGAGCGCAACTTTCCCACTCTGCAGGTAAGGAGGATTATAGCTTTTCTCATATCAAACTGTTTCTAAAATGGGATGGAACTGTGGTCAGGTTTACATACATGCCGAGACTCTGATCATTATCTGATTTGTGGCATTATCAGATTATTGAAATGTCATGTAAACAGTAGGGTGTAAGAATATTTCCGCATGTCCAGGTAAAGTGCACAGCTCCAATGGTCTAAATCTGCTTTATCAGAACAAATGTAATAAGATGTTACGTTTATTGATGATGTTTGTTGAAATTGTATCGATATCATGATGCGAAATATTGAGTCATGTATCAAATCAGAAGATAACTATCATTGCATCCATAGTAAACACTTCCATCTGACGTGAGTAATCCGATTTATTCACATCTGTGCAAGTTTTGAAAAGAAAATTATGCAACTCGTGGAAAATCAAATCAAGTTCAAGTTTATTTATATAGCTCTTCCCATAGACTAAACGTACACAAGGTGCTTTATAGATTACAAATAAAACAAATATTATTTCTAAGACAAAAATGAGAAAATTTTAAAGATCGAAAGAGTTATTTTAAAATTAATTGTCTCTCAAATACAACAGTTAAGCAGATTCACTGATGTAAAGATTTGTTTTTGACGATCAAATTTATTTTGTGCGGTAAACACCAAAACAAAGGTGTATTTTTCAGTTCGCAAAATGTACAGTTTTGCCCTTCTAAGATGATTATTTAGAAGATAACAGTGCTGTAGAAGTTTGTAGCAGATTTCTCTTTGCTTGTTGGTGATGAGATATTTGTGGGATAATGTCCAGACATTTTCCATGGAATACTGTAGTAGTAGGGCTCCGTTTGGGAGGTGCACTTGTGGCGATAGTCGCTCTTTTTCCGCAGCGACTCATTATAAGGCAAGTTTAACTGAAGATGAAGCCAAGTAATTTATGTTTTTCAAAGTTTGGTGCAGCGTCTTAACTCACGCCAGCTCAAGCCGCCATCTTCAGGTGCTGGCCCTGTCCTGCCGCTTCCCCAGTTTAGGCTCCTGACTCCACTAATGACATCACTCTGCTGCAGCCAGTGAAATAGCAGCATGGATAACCCTGTTGTCGTATCACTGAATACATCTCAGAATGTCTAATAAACAATATGTGAACTAAAATGTGTTAAATTAATACTATTGAGTTTGGAAAAATATCAGAATAAATATTGGTAGAGACTAATTTGTCTTCCCCAAATATTGGTTGTGACATGTCCCCACCGTCCCTATGCAAACCTACACCCTTGCACCGAAATTCAGATCTAAATATTTCATTATCAGATTATTCTAGTGATCTGATTTGACTGTTCATGTAAATACCATGTAAATATAGACCAGTATCCATTAGTAGCCTTCTGAGTTGAGTTCTATAAACTCTTTTGACTTTTTGCTTCTCTGTTTTCAATGTCAGAGGACTTTCTAGATATTCAAAAGCAGATTCATTTGCGGTAGCTGCATGTCTGCCAGGTTTTCCGTCTTTGGGCACGGCATTTGGATGCACATTCCTCGCATGGTCAGCCAAGAATACTGTATACACTCCTACAAAACATTTTACGAAGATATGAGTCTTGTCACCGGTTTGATCTCCCCAAGTTGGATGTGTTTGACCGATGGATTAGCACATATCCGTTTGTCCGTATCAAAGCAAAATAGGGCTGAAAAGAAAAAGAATATTATATGTTACAACAAAATGTCACAGATTTACGCAGGATCATCGAGTGAAGCACTAAATTGACACTCATGAGTCACTGAAATGAATGAACCTGACTGGATGAGAGATCTTCTGTGTGGAGTATACATCCAGTGTGTGTCCCAGGCAGGCACAGAGCGTCTGAAGAGTCCTGTCCCACCACACTGCTGCCATACTGTTAGTCCGCTCAAACAACTCAAATGAATCCACGTATCATTCGTTCATTTGTTTTTCAAAATAAAACCAAAAATAAGAAAACAAAAAAACAACTATTTTCTTCATTATTTGTCTCTAAAACCAAAAAATGAAAAAACAGATAACGATTCGTTTTTTCAGTTTTCGATTTTGTTTTAATGGTCATTTCCCATTTCCGTGACTTAAACTGCAATGCTGGACTGAACCAGGTCTAAACCAGGTCTAAACCAAGTCTAAACCAGAAATGAACCAGGACTAAACTGGTTTCAGTCCTGGTCTCAGTCCTGGTCTTAGTCCTAGTCTCAGTTGCAGTCTGGTCCCAGTCTCAGTCCTGGTCTCAGTCCCGGTCTCAGTCCCGGTCTCAGTCCCAGTCTCAGTCAGGGTCTCAGTTCTGGTCTGGTCCCGGTCTGGTCCCGGTCTCAGTCTCGGTCTCAGTCCCAGTCTCAGTTCTGGTCTCGTCCTTATCTCAGTCCAAGTTTGGTCTCAGTCTCAGTCCTGGTCTCAGTCCTGGTCCTGGTCCCAGTCTAGTCCTGGTCTCAGTCCTAACTACCCCACAGTCTACACGGGCACACCCTCCGGGCTCGTCCCGACACTCCTGGTTCAGTCCTGGTTCAGTCCATATGCGGTGCAAAAGTCCATTATCCGTTTTTTCCATCATTCCATCATTTTTTCCATCAAACACAAAATCTAAAACTGAAAAAAACAATCATTATGTGTTTTTTCATTATAGTTTTGGAGACAAATATTGAAGAAAATTGATGTTTTTTCGTTTTCTTATTTTGGGTTTTATTTTGAAAAACGAATGATACACTTCATGATTCAGATCAATCAAAAGGACAAGATTTTGTTTGTGAGTTTCGATCAAATCTTGCAAAAAACTGCTACACAAAGTACTGTATACTGTGACAAACTTGTTTTGAGAAAGAGAGGCAAAACACTTGTGTGACTAATGTGCGCTTGTGACAAAGGGCTCAAAGGAAGCGTCACTAGACTATTAGACTTGTAGACAGAGGAATGTTCAGTATGTTAAATAGTCTGAAAATGTGTACACTCAGTCAACTGACAGCTCCAGCAACACCCCCACTAACACCCCAAACAGCAGCTCTCATCAAATGAATTCTAAATGATTACAGAGTAAAGATGTCACTTGCCCTATTTAGAGCTGTTTAAAGTGGGAAACATAATCAAATCCTATTGTATTTTAGACACTCACTGCAGGTAACTGTGAATGTGGATGAAAGCTCAACTTTTTATCCTCAGGGAAATGAGTCTTCTCAAAGAAAACAAATTCAGAACGTGCAGATCTCATCTCGTGTGCTTATTATGAGCGTGTAGTGAAATACAAGCACCTAAAACAACTTCAAGTATTCTAAAAATGAAACATGCCAAATATTTAAAGGCCCTGGACCTTTTTTGTTCATTTATTTGCGCTATTGTCTTGCCTCAGTGCTAGTTTATGTCAGATATTTTGCCAACAAAACTTTGCTTTGGCCTCTAAAAGTTGTGAAAAGAGCTAATAAACTCAATGTGGTGAATAATTAGGACGCTCAGAATACATAAGGTAAGTGTGGAATTGCTTTGGACCCCTTTTAAAAATAGCCTAGGTATGTTTTTCATGTTTTTTAAAGAACAGTGTTGGGCCCTGTTTACACGTACACTGGTATTTTTAAAAACTGAGACATTTCTCTTCGTTTGTACCCATCTTTTACACGCAAATGGCAAATTCGCCTCTGAAAACAAATCCTTCTAAAAACTAGAGTGGAGATTCTGGAAAACTACGGTTTGGCGTTTGCGTGTAAAGTGAGATTAACAAATTTTTAGGAGCTGACGTGCCAAAAGTGTGACCAATGTTTACCTTTTGCTATGGTGATAATCAAGGAAGCATTCAGAGCAGCAGTCGCATTTCTTCTGGTGCAAACACTTTTCATCAACCCTGCTCAGTAATGCAAGTTTTTCAAGATATTTTTGAGTAATACTTACAACTGTTTGCCGCTCAGAGGCTTGGTGTAGTTATGACGGCGCTCGATGGTGTATTTGTAAAGGGAAACTTTTTTTGAAAACAATGCTATGTGCACGATGTTATTTTGGAAAACAGAGGGATGGAAATATCCGTTTCTCAGTATACCCAGCTATGTGTAAACGTGGTATCCCTGCAGCTAGGTGTTTGTAAGTAGAAACACCTTGCTTTGACCAGGGCAGTTCTATGTAATGTCACATAGTACTTGAAATCTCAGAGCCCACTGAAGGCAGCCTGCACCTTTTTGACTGCTTTTGAACACGAAGCTGCACATATATTTAGTTTGCGCTAAAATTCTCAAAAAAGAACAGTAGACAATGCTATAAAAACACCATTTGCACGGTTTAGTAGCAAAAAAGTTGATTTATTGTTTAGTTTCACTTTAAAATGAAAGATACACTACTAGTCAAAAGTTCAGACACACCATCTCATTCATTGTTTTATTATAATTATTATCGAGGAGAAAAGGCTCGTACCATCAGTATCATCTTTTAAATCTCTTCTTAAGACTCATTTTTATCAGTTGGCCTTCCTTTAAGTGGTTTTAGCTTGATTCTGTATTTATTTTTATTCTATTTATTTTTATTTATTTATTATAATTTATTGGATTCTTTGCATCATTGTTTTTATATGCTTTCTGTACGCTATTTTTATGCTTTCTGTGTTGTTCTTTTGTGGCATGTTTAGCACCTTGTTTTTAAAAGTGCTTAATAAATAAAGACGTATTATTATTATTTATTACCTTATTTTTACTACTTTCTACATGTTGTATACGTAAAGACATCAGCTATATGAAGTAAAATATATGGAATTATGTAGCAAAAGGAAAAAAAGTTATGTTTTTTCACATTTTACATTCAAATACGCAAAATAGCCATCCTTTGTTTTGTCGAAAAATATGAATTATAGTTTTATTACATAATTCTATATTGATTGAGATGGTGCGTCCAAACTTTTGACTGGTTGTAGGAATTCCATATATCTTACTTCATATATTCAATGTCTTCTGTATATATACACAAATTTGAAAGTAGTACAGATAAGAAAAAAAAAAAACCTGAATGAATAAGATGGTCAGTCCAAACTTTTGACATGTTGTGTTCAATTATACAAAAAGAAAAAAGATGGAGCTGCCTAATTTGAATGTATGACATATCATTCCCGGATAACCTCCAAACTTGAGCGCCATCCATTTTCTTTTGTTTGTTTTCAGATCAATACGCCCTCTTCTCTCATATTGACAGTGGCTCTAACTAATTCATAGAGAGTCTTGTATTCCTCCCGCTTTCCAATACAATCTGAATGTGTTATGAATGATGACACTCTCTATGGGACTTCACTGTTTAATTGCTGATTCATTTGTTTTGTTCCACTAAACGACAATTATTAATGGCACTGTGACACCTTTGCCGCGGAGGAATGGCTTCAGTGATTTTTTGCCGGGCTTCTAGAGATCCTTACATCAACTTTGAGGACAAAAGCTGCTCAGTGGTGTAAAATATGCACAAAAGTATGGGGACAATACGAAGCAAGAACTTGACAAATCACACTTCAAAGTTCTGATACAGATAAATGTGTATGATAAGAATACCACATATCTACTGTCTACTACTATACTTTTTAAAAAATTGACATCTCTTTACTTCAAGCACAAGTAATAAAGCAAAAACGTATTTATCTTTATCACTGTTATTTATTCTTCAAGTAATTATGGAACTACAAAGGTCAAGTATTATGACATTCTGGACCTGGAACTGTTTGCTAAATTGAAGTTTTCATTTGGATTAGAATGTCTTTGCAAATTGTTTGTGGAACTAATCACTAAATCTACTTTTTTCACTACTGAACTATACTAAAATGTGTTTTTAAGAACATTGTCTATGGTTCCTAGTCATATTTGGACCAGTTTTGTGCAAAGTAGATATGTAGTGGACCAAACCAAAATGCAAAGACAAGGTATAAAAATAAGTTTAAATTTAATAAAGTAAAAAAAAAAAAAAAAAAAAGATGTAATTTAACAAAGGCTCAAATGAGGTAAATCGTTAACAAAAAGCCCAACTTAAACCAAACTGAACAGAACAAAACTCACCCGACCAGACAAAGAACAGGGGTGTTTAAAAAGAAGGAAAAGTATAATACATGAAATAATAAGTGATAATAAAGTAATCTTAAACAAACTAGACAAACTAACTTAGTAAAACTAAAAAGATAGTGCTCCCCCCTTTGTTCGGCGTGGATGGTCTCTGCCAAAGGTCCTCCGTCTTAGCCAGGCTGGCGCCACCTAGTGCCTCCACTCAATTTCATTTCTCTCCAGCGACTAGGTCAGGAATCGGAAAACACTACTAGACGGTTCGCAACAACCCCGGAAGTATAAGTTCGAGCACCAGCCAATCGGCAAAGAGCCATATATTCTGTGTTGGCAATGATTCCCACGATTGAGGATTTAAAGGTGGAACAAAGAGAATGTTTGGTGAATTTTATCAAGGGGGAATTGCCCTTCTCCCTACGTGATTTGGGAAAAGCTTAATATACCAGTTAGCCCCGTTAGCGGAGCATTACATACGTCACAACCAAATAGCAGAGATTGGTTAAATTTAAAATGTACCTGCCTACCGTCGAGCAAACGAATTCTAATGCTGCAAGGTCAGACGGTTTCCACGAAGTGAAACTGGCTGATGAATCAGGCTGCCTCCGTCTGGCCACTCAAATAAAAAAAATAATAAGTGTAAATAAATAATTCAGACTTATATTAACTAAAATGTGTGCACTCAAATTAGAATATAAGTGTAAATAAATGAATTAAAGTAAGCTTTGTGTGCTGTAATTAAGTTAATGTAAATGAAATGAACACTGTGGAGCGGTGGCAGAGGTATCCACCACAAGGTACATTAGCAGCTTTGTGATTAAAAATTAATAAAAAATTTGTGTGTCCTGGCTCCAGTGGACACTACAATTTTAAGTACCTGGTGACATCACGCATGACTGCCCTGATTCAAGCCAAGTGTTTCTGATTACAAACATATTACAAACAGTTTGAAATGTGAATACCTGCTGGACCAATCACACTGCTCCTGTCACCAAGACCCCGCTCCTCCACCTTCACTCTTTTCTTTAATCCTCCATCCTGTACTGTCCAGTTTAGCTCCATTTGAAATGCGGTTGTGGGTGGAGATTATATCCCACTGAAAATGGATTTTAAAATTGAAACATCGGTATCAGAAAATACGGGTTATTGCCCACAACAAAGGAAAATTTTGGTTTTTGTTATGTGTTCCAAAATTTCATATCGGACCATCTCAAATTAAAAAGACTGAAATGTGTCCATGTTTATATACCAGGACTATGTCTAGAACTGTCAGAGGTTGTGTTTGCTTTCGAGTTAATATGAAAAAAACAAAGAGAGCTCATGTTTTTCTCAATTATGTTTTCTGATAAACACATTAAACATAAAGTTGAATTCCTCTCATTGTTCTTGCATTCATGAGCGTCTTGTCTATATGACGCTTGTGTTATCACACGCTCAACACTTCTGCACAGCGCTCACACAAATGCATGTTTACTAGCATCCATAGCTCCTGTCATTATTCATACTTGCTCCTTGGGCTCATTTGAATACTGCCTGTGCATTACACATATTTATCATCTGCTCCGTGGACATAAATATGGCGGTAATATCTGCTGCAATTTGCCCTGTACATATTGGCACAATGGAAGCAGATGCTGCCTACACCAGAGCTCCCAGGCCCCTGTACACAGCGTCATTATTCAGACAGGCGTGACAATGGCCTCCCACGGAGACAAGCTCACGTTTACACTATGATGGTATGCACTTTGCAAATTATTGTGCAGAAATGTGCCCATGTCTACTCCAGTGGAATAATGAGTTCTTGCAGGTATCAGCAAGTATAATGTAATGTTAAAGCAGACCGATTATGCAAAACCTCCTTTTTTTAGAGCTTTAATGTTAAAACGGACCTATTATGCAAAATCTACATTTTTTTAGAGCTTTTAACTAGGTTTTAGTTGTTTCCCTTCTCTTTTATCCTCTCGAAGTTGTGTTTGGACTGATATGTGCATGATGAGTAATCTTTATACTTCATTCAAGACTTCAGTGCTCCGATCTAGCCCAGATTTCCAGTGTTGTGAGGAACGCGTTATAAAAGTAATGAATTACTGTAATGCTTTGCTTTTTGCTGTAACGCAGTAATGTCAGGAATTACAGGGAAAGAAATGGTCATATTTTACAATGTCAGTAACGTGCTTTACAGTGCTTGTTTAACTTGGATTGAAGTGGTGGGTTTTTCATTTTTCTTCATACAAATTCGGTAAAATCACTGCGATATTAGCAGCTGTGAAATGCCATCATTATGGTTCGAAATGTCAGGATGGGCCTGGAGGTGCACCCACATATATCATCAGGTAACCATGGGTGCAGAGCACAGAGCACGGCACAGAGGTAACCGCAGCTGACCCCCGATCGAGCTTTGTGGACACCCTGCTCCACAGGCTCAGGGTTCTCTCAGGGGTGGGCCTAAAGTCCTAGTCCAAGATTAGTCCTGGTTTAGACTTGGTCCAATCCGGTTTAGTTCTGGTTTAGTCCTGGCTTAGACCTGGTTTAATCCTGGCTGAGTCCTACTGTTTCAGTCCTCGGTTCAGTCCTGGTTTAGACCTGGTTTAGTCCTGGTTCAGTTCTGGTTTAGACCTGGTTTAGACCTTTTTTAGACCTGGCTTAGTCCTGGTTTAGTGGTGGGTCAGTCCTCGGTTCAGTCCTCAGTTCAGTCCTCGGTTCAGTCCTGGTTCAGTCCTGGTTCAGTCCATATATGGCGCAAAAGTTCGGCATCTTCGCACAATTATTTTGGTGAGAGTAACTTAAGGTGCTGCAATAGTCTTGTAATGCCTTACATTTTAAATACAGTAATATTGTAATGTAACAAATTACTTTGAAATGACAGTAACAAATAATAATAATAATAAATAACACATTACAGTACATACTTCATTCTCCAATTTATATTTTGCCCAAATGAAAAAAAATCCACCACTTTACTCTGCACAGCTCTTTGTTGAGATGACCTCCATTTTCTAATGTGGAAGACAGCAGATTTGCTTCTTTTATTAAGTTAATTTAGATCAATATTGTGATTTGAAATAATAATATAGGCTAGAACAAATTATAACATAATGATCCACGGGTGTCATAGATTAGAAGTATGACACCCGTGGATCATTAGCAGGCAAAAGCACACTTCATTTGGTACTAATTTACATAACATTTCATTAGACCATCACACATTGTTTAGTGATGAGCAGAGTGTAATTCATGGATAAATAGAGTACAATTATTTGTTCTTAAATATGATTCTTTGCCTTTTGTGTTCCAGGTGATTAACCAGGCCAGCGGACGAGTGGCCCACCACACACTGCACACTCAGCCCATCGGGAGGCGCTTTGATCGGGTCGATGACTTCTTCATCCCCCCCTCCAGCCTCATCATCAACCATGTCAGGTATGATTAGTAGTAGCCCAAGCATGAAGCAAGTTCACCTCTACTGTTAATTTTACTGTTTTATCACATATGAAAGTGTACAATACAATGAAATACAAGCTCGAGGGTCATAGGTTAGTGTTTCTACAGTCTTGTAATATAAAACATGATACCGTATTATTAATACGTTGTAATATCAAGTATGAAATGATAAGATTCTAGCTCTAAAATGCATTTTTGATAGCTAGCTTCAAAATTCAAATGAGAAGGCAACAATAAAAGCCACAAACTTGACTATAATAGACTATAATCATTACACAAATACCCCCCGCTGTACTTTGAGGATCCCCACAATATGAATACATTTAGAGCATTTCATACATTATAAATAGTATAAATACCATAAAAACAACAATAGTTGCAATTAAAAAGAGATAAAAGTAAGTTTTACAAGCTACAAAAGATTTCAAAACTAAAAAATACAAGTAATAAACCATGTTTCTGAGCTAAAATTGTCTTGTACAGATATATTGTATAAGCTGCTTTAGAGGTCAAAATAAGTCTACTGTGTTCTGTCTGCATGTAACTATAAAGCATATGTCCAGTAATGTAGTGCTAACATGTAGGAAGTACATGTTAGCATGCTAGTTATTGGTAGCTTTACAGTCACGACAATAATCTGTGTTGTCCTCTGAAAGTTGTGAAAAGAACTTAGGCTACGTTCAGACTGCAGCCTGAAGTGACCTAAATCAGATTTTTTGGCCCCTATGTGACCTGGATCTGATCTTTTAATGACAGTCTGAATGACACAGATCAGATTTTTTCAAATGCGACCCAGGTCACTTGGATATGTGCTCCTGAAACCGATACATATCTGATCTTTTGACATGCGACTTCAGTCTGAACTGCCAAAGCGCATTCATCCACCTACACGTTATCAACAAGCCACAAACATCACTATTCTGCACTGAAGTAGGTGAAAATTGTTAATGAACTCCGTGTCACTGAAGCGAAGGGCATTGCTCCTCACCACTCTTGGGTACGTCTCCACATCCACACGTTCCTTTCAACGGACTGCCCCACAAAACGCCACAGCCAAAAACCTCATCCTTCTCCTTCTCAATCTCCTCCTTAAAACAGGTAAGTTCATGTTCTGGTTCAGGTACGAGAGGAACTTTAAAATCTCCAGGTGCTCAATGCTCGCGTCCGTGTTTGGACAACTTCCGTAAACACAGAGCACGCTCGCTGCGGTTGACGTCATCGTGTCTCCAGTGCGCATGCGGGACACTTTTGGGCCGTTTAATGTTCACACTGGAGTCACATACAAATCGCATTTAATTGGAAATGTGAAGGACCTCGCAAAAACATCGGATTTCACACAAAAAAATCCGAATTGAGCGTTAAGCCCTGCAGTCTGAACATAGCCGTAGAAACTTAATGCGGTTAATGATTGTTAAATTTGGACTACAGTACTGCAAACTGTTTAAGATGAACTAGTTCTGTTATTCACAAACGAACTGTAAAAATCAGGTACAACGCCTTTTAAAGTAAACTAAAAGCTTGTGAAAAGATATATTGAGCTTACTTTAAAAAATGTGCATGAAGGTTTAATTGAGGAGCCAGAGATGGAGAATAGCATGAAGAATGTAATCTACCTCGTGAATCAAACCACTTCAGCCAGTTTGGTTTAACATTACATTTTTTATATTCAAAGTCAGCAGTAGTTCAGCTATAAGTACAAAGTGCAGTTTGGTCAATTCAGACATGACAGTTCTTACATTCAAATGTGAAGAACATTACTTTAAATTACTCAACCTTTGCACTTTAATGGCAATGTTCTGAATAGCTTGGAGAGATAATTATATTTCCCGGTGTTCAGAAGGAAGGAAAGTACTTTCTTGACTGTGAATTCACATTATGAACTTTTAATATACAACGGCTAACTGCTGATTTCCATTTTCTAACAATGGAGGCAAATTCTACCATTTACTCAAAGCATCAATTTAAAAAAAAAAAAAGAAAAAAGCTGTAAAATTGCTTAACTTATGGCTTTGATGCAGGGTTATAAAATGTAATTTTTCCAGCAAATTGCAGCATTTACCAATTACCTTTTAAAATTATACAGTGCTTTTTTTCAATAATTAAATCATCAGTTTGAAGTAGGACATTGTAAATATCACTGTCAGCTTTTTCTTTTTTCATTCATTGTGTTCTGTTTTAATTGATGCCATAATTTCAGATGGAGGGCAGCAGCGTATACTGTATAACCAAACAGAAGATCACAAATATTCAACCTTATTATTATTTGTTACAGATGCACTTCGCAAACTTGCCATATAAAAGGTCCTGAATTTCGAAAAATATATTATTGTTGTGACCCTTTAATTCTTGTTATAATGTTGATTAAAAAAAAAGAAAGAAAAAAGAAACATACCTGGAGTTGTGTTCTGGCAGTGATATTTGGCAGTGTTTGAGTGTTCAGTAGAGATGAGAAATTCCAGGGCTGTAATCATCCAAATGATTCTAGTGAAGGTGTCTGGAGTTTAAAAACAGTGGAGCACTTCTTGTATCACCTTATGACATCACAACGTGGAATAGTTATCGCGATATCGTGGAAAAGCTTGTGATATGATGGAGAGGCTCATGATCAGGGATGTAACAGTATCCAAATCATATGATATTGGTACGGTATTTTCACGATATACATCCCCACAGTACGGTATTTATTGTGATATTTTGTGGAGGGTAACAAAACTGTTAATATGCATCTCTTAAAATGCCTTGACAAGATTTAATCCAAAGAACTAAGACTTAAAAGTGCTTAGAACTGTTATTTCTTCATTTAGTCTGCACTGAAATGGAGCAAAGGATCATGGTCTATGTAGTTCCCTGTCTTTTTTTTTTTAGCTGTTGCTGCACCATAACTCTTAATTTAAGGCAAAGAGGCTTGTAATTCGATATATTGTGATGGTCCACGATATTATTGTGAGAACTTTGACGATACGATATCACATTATTTCAGTTATTGTTACATCCCTATGTGTGAATGAAACAAAACACAACTCAAGGTGTATTTGTGATGAGGAAACAACATTAAAACAGTTCGGAAAATAGCGCAACATGAGCCTTTTAAACTAATTCAATAGTTATTTAAAATAGTAATATAAAAAAAGTCTGTTCATTTGTGCTGACGAAGAACAAATTTTGTTTCATGTCAATAGCAACTGGAGATTTTGTCTATAGACCAGGTTAAAACCTCTACATTTTGACGCTAAAAAGACAATTTCTGTAATTCTGGCCTATCCTCCAAATTAATTTCATAGTAAGAGTAGTTTAGAAAGTTGTACCTATAGTTTACGACCCATTTCTCAAGATATATACATTCACCGGAAGTAACCTCAGTCTTTTTAACTTAAACGCTGACCAGAGAAATCCAATCTGAAACACTTGGTCAGACATTGCGGCTAGTCTTCCGCGTCAGCCCTGGAGGATTGTACCACGCTACGCACAAACAATGCCCACAAACACTGATAGCGGCGGGGGCTGCGGGTGAAATAGCACGGCTACCATCGCGCGTCTGTAATTAGCTCCACAGAGAGATCCTCGCTCAGAACGGACACCCTCCTGCCATGTTGCGCTGGGAAATTGCTGTGTTCACCATGATGGTCGAGAACAGCCGTACTCTACCGGACAGGATGTTTGATTGCACAAAGTCTGGCGCACGCCTCTGCCCGGGAAACAGCGCGTCGGGATCAATCGCGGATGAGTGTTGTATCTACGGTTACAAGCGATTGCGTGTTAGCTTCCCAGCGGCGGAGGAGCAGTCATGGCTGTGTCTTACTTGTGTCAACGTTAAATTGTCTGCGTATATATTTCTCTGAGCGTGTGTGTGTGTGTGTACTTTAAGCCAACACTGACAGGGAACATGTGTAATCAAAAGCGAGTTACAACTAAGGGGATAATGTAACCACTGAATTGATGGACGTGTGACAAGTAGAGCAAGAATTTGATTAAATTTTATGTCAAATCTTATGAAAGTTTACTTAGACTTCGATAAACTTTATTGAACCACAGCAGAAAGTCTTTGGCCACAGTAGCTCACAATTGTACTATATAATAATAACAAAGAGCAAAAATATAAATGTTAATGATAAATTCAAAATAAGTGAAGCAAAACATAGTGAGACTGGTGTCAAATAAGGCATTAGGAGTGTGTAAAAATCTGTGTATCACTGGTTCATTAGTTTTTCAAAATAAAACCAAAAATAAGAAGATGAAAAAATAACAGTTTTCTTCATTATTTGTCTCCAAAACCAAAATGAAAAAAATGAATAACAATTAGTTTTTTCAGTTTTCCGTTTTGCGCTAAAAACAAGTAACTGCCGTTTCCCATTTCTGTGACTTAAACTGTGATGCCGGACTTTTGCACCGCATACGGACTGAACCAGGACTGAACCAGGACTGAACCAGGACTGAACCAGGACTGAACCAGGACTGAACCAGGACTGAACCAGGACTGAACCAGGGCTGAACCAGGGCTGAACCAGGGCTGAACCAGGGCTGAACCAGGACTGAACCAGGACTGAACCAGGACTGAACCAGGACTGAACCAGGACTGAACCAGGGGTGAACCAGGCCCGGAGATGCAACCTCCTAGACTGTCGAGTGATCAGGACAGAGACTGGGACCAGACTGGGACTGAGACCAGGACCAGACCAGCACTGAGACTGGGACCTGACCGGGGCCAGGACCAGGACTGAGACCAGGACCTGGTTTAGTCCTGGTTTAGTCCTGGTTCAGTCCTGGTTCAGTTCGGCATCGCAGTTTAAGTCACGGAAATGGGAAATGGCCATTATCCGTTTTTTTCTATTATTCATTTAAACACAAAAACAGAAACTGAAAAAACAGATAATGATTTGTTTTTTCAGTTTCAGTTTCTGAAAAAACAAATCGTTATCTGTTTTGGTTCTGAAGACAACTAATGAAGAAAATAGTTGTTTCTTCGTTTTCTTTTTTTTTGT